CAGTGTACAGTTGACTTTTGATCAGTTGACTGAGAATTCACTATCAATCCAATTGATCTTGAGCAATATTTTAGGTCATGCCATTAGGTCAAAATATGCAATTGAACTCTTGAAACCATGCTTCAAAACAATTGACCATTTTCTAGGTCAAAAATCATAAATTGACCATTTTCTAGGTCAAAAATCATAAATTGCCCTTTATCAGCCAAAACCGTAATTTTGACTATTTTACCCTTTTGATGATTTGATCAAATTTCTTGAGGAATTATGGTCCAAACTTGATCAAATGATACATGTGAGTTTGTAATATTTATGTGGATAAAAAATTATGAAGTTTGACTGTAAATTGGCCATAGTTGACTTTTTTCCCAATACAATTGATTTTTAGGTCAACCGCTCAATTGACTGAGCAAAAGTGTGATCCAAGGCTTGAAACTTGACAAGAGTAATCTTGGGGGTCCATAATGATCCATGAAAGTCATATTAAGCATTGAAAGTTTAATTATCCTTGTGCGATCTCAAACCCTAATTTTGGTCATCAATGCTTAAGGAGATGTCTTGAGCTGATCAACCCTAGTGCAGTCTTGAACCAAGAGAGATCTTTGTGAGAAAATATTTGATAAGTGAGAGGGTAAATTTTGGGGCACAACATAAATGTTAAAGTCTCAAATGCTTAAAAACAAAAACAGTAGTAGTGAGTACAGAAAATCAGAAATGTAACTAATTCACTCTCCGACAACGACACCAAAAACTTGTTATCCTTTTAAGTGTCACATGCAAGTATACATGTTGTGATTGAAGCAAGTAACACGTATAAGAGTATCGTATCCATCCAGAGTGTTTTCACTTAGATTTGATTTTTTGTATGAAAACTATTCTTTTGATTTAAGCATGAGCAGAGAGAAAAAATAATTAGTGTTTATGAGTTCAAGTTAACTTAAAACAGATGTCAAAAGTATGGTGAAAAATATTAGAAATATATTAAGAATGATTGAGTTGAGCTATGTTACATTAATATCACTAGTGTATTCAAGTGTTTATGACGTGTGATGTCGTGACTGGTAAGGTTAGAGTGATCTTGTGGTGTATCTCTACAACATCAAAGCATGCATAATAAGGGCAAGAGAACAAATCTCTAAGCCTCACTTATAAACCTAATATGCATCTCTTAGTATTCTGAAATCCTCAATAGTTATAGCTACTTATATCTAAGTAAGCTAAGCAAGTGAATATATATATCCTACTCATTCAACTATTTTTATTAAGAAAATCACTTGTAGTTGGATCTCTCACAACAACAAGTTGTCATCTACTCCTAAGTTGATCAATCAAAGAAATAAACTTGTAACAGATTAAAAGATAATAAAACGAATCACTTAACCACACACCATTTAACATGAAAACACTTTAATATTAACTTCAAATTGCACAACTACAAAAGGTTTAACTCATAGTGAGCTAAGTACAAGCTACAAACATGGTTCTAAATAGGAACATATTTTAAACACTAAATGAAGAAAATATATAAACCTAAGAGAGACTTAGAGAATGACTTGAGACGTTTATTCTTCAAGAGATATCTTCAGTCGCGCCACTGCTCATCAGCTGGTACAGGATTGGGTGAGGAAATATACTCTTGCACACTCTACTATCCACACACTCAAACTTTTGGTGTTTTTCTCTTAGAACAACTGAACTCTCTTTCATTTCTCATTGCAATTCTATTTATAGACCAAATATTAGGGTTTTTTTGTTGCGTTGGATCATGGGCCTAATATGAGGAAGTTACATCAAGCTCATACCAAAAACTAGTGCCAGCACATAACCTTAGCTGCTTAACCAACAAGGAACTTGGTACCAGGAGACCACGGTAGGAGGAAAAGTGTATGGTGTCACACTGACACAGCAGGGGCATGCGGTGCAGTGTCCTTAGCGCAATGTACTATTGTACCCATTTTGTCCCCCTTTAGCGCCTACACCTTTGTGCTTTGAATTTGAATTGTTTCTTCCTTTTTTTAGCATAACATGGTGTTCCCTCCAATTTATCTTCCTTCCACGCTATCATTATCAGCTAGCTTCTTGCTACAATTGTTTCCCTTTTCCTCTTAGTCCTTCTAATTTCTTCAACTTGTGCTCCATGCAGTAGACCACTACAGTCTTGCCCTAACTCGACTCTGCTAACCTCTTACTTACAAAAGTAAACATTAATAATAAAAATGGAGCACCTGTTCTGCTCCAAGCTAAACAAATAAAAACTACTAAAAGACAAGAAATTATAACTATTAAAATAATTTTAAAAAAATTAATAGAAACTAAAGGCATGAATTAACTCATGTGGGTTAACAGTTTATCATCGCACTCTATAGAAATTTCAAAAAAAAATTAATATTAGATTTTAAAAATTCGGACGCACTTAAAAAACCAAATAAATTATGGAGATTAAAAATAACTCTCAAAGTACGTTGCTAAAACACTCCAGAGATTGGAATTCAGACTCGCCTAAAAGATAACATCCAAAATGAAATCATGACCATACAATTTTTAAAAGAATTCATATTCAAAAGTTGGGATTTAATCGAGAGATTAGAATCCAGGCGCTTCTGTTTAAGTAACTCGTGCCTTTCCTTCCCCTTTCACATTTCCATTTTTTTAAAAGGGAGAAATAAAGAATACAAAGAGAGAGTACTAAGAAGTGATCATAGAGAAATTTCTCCATATTTTCAAGCATTCTCATAACTTTTATCCATTGCATTGAATCCATGTATTGCACTTATTTGAAGCTCTTCTCGATTACATTAGTAAGTTGCTCCTTCTCTTTTGTTCTTGGATTTCACATGCATGCATCGCTGAAATAGACTATAGATATGATAGTTTAGGCTTAAATGCAATAGAAATGTTCATTGTACTTATCCTGAACGACCTTGCATTTTGCTTTTGAGCATTGTGGCTTATATGGTTCATAGGCTCTACCTTGTCTTCTCTAGTTGTAGTTCGCTTGCAATTTGGATTGTACAATCTGATTCCTTAATCCAAATGTTGTGCTTGTTTGATTGCAACAAAAATGTCTGACGATCAAGAAAGAATGAGACATGGTAGAATATCCTAACATGCGTCTGTTTGCAGGGAGAAAGCTAGACCCTCACGAAATGTTGTTGGAGAAACTTCTTTTGCTGGTGATGGATTATCTTCATGGGTTTACGTGTCTGCTACAGCCCATAAAGCCCTTCTTTCCCCAAAAGTTGTTGCTACTCTAGATTCCCTATAGGGTTTCCCGGGAGGCCCCTTGGACCTTTCACCACTTCATCTATTTCCAGACCATGCTTTGGAGTGGCCTTAATACAGGAGGAATATGGGTGTTTGATATATTCATTAGTAGGTTTTATTTTGATATTTTTGTATTATGGTTTATATTTGGATTGATTATGGCATTGTGACATTTTGTATTTGATATTTAGACATTATATATATGCACCAGTTCTTATATTTTGATCTTATGGAAACATGTTTTGTAATTAATTGAAGAAGTAATCAAAGAAGCTCTCGACACTATACTTTTGATGATGGCAACTAAAATGAGTGTTTTGATAATGAAACATGTATGAGAATTAAAACATTACAAGCGATTAAAGTAGACAAGTTAGGGTTTAATGATCACTAGAAACATTCATTGATGATGATACTCAACTAGAATAATTCTAAAGCCTCATCTTCGTGAAGATCCAAGCAAGTTTCTATATGATTGGTTTACCTGACAAGTCTTGAATCTTCAAAATGGAAAGAGAGAAAGTGTGAAAGCTCACCATGCCGTGTCTAAGTGAACCTTGTTTTGTAAAAACACACGGGATGTTTCGTTAATACGTCTAAATTACACACACACACACCCCAAAAAAAAAACTTTCAAAGCTTCTGTTTCTTAAGAAAGTATCCCTAAAAATATTTTGGAGACGTGCTAGATGAATCAAGAAATGTCATACTAGTTTTAGATAAAATTTGTATTGTCCAATCGATTGGCACTCATACCCAATCAATTCGGTTAGTGCAAAAATTATCCTTAGACTTTGACAATAATTTATTTTTAGACCTTCCAATCGATCGGAGCAAAGTGTCAATCGATTCACATTAAATTTGGTCCATGAATCATTCCTTTTTGTGCCAACCTCTATCCTATTAATAGAGGCTCCTCCCTTCATAATTTCACATTCAGAAACGTGAGCATTCTATCTCACTCTTCACTCTTTCTCTCCCTCTCAAATTTTTTCAACTTTCTCTCACATAATTTTAGCCATAGTGCTTCGAGAAAATCATTTTATTTAGTAGGGTATTTTTGTATTTTGAAAAGAGCATTATTGTAAATTCACTAAGGAATATTTTCTCTTGGTTGAATAATTTATCTATAAAAGAGTCAAAGTTAAACCCTTTAAAAGCTTTAGTTTAGAGATTTAGATTCTAAGTCGTCGACTCGGTTCGTAAATTCATCCTAATTGAAAAAACTTATTTCGATTCAAGATCATCCCGATTCAAAATCTCAATTTGATTCATGAATTAAGGCTAGATTAAACTACATATATTATCACTCAAGACCCTTTAGTTATTGGGTCTATGGTGTCATGATGTAAAATCACATACTTTATTTGAGAAAAACATGCATTATATTATCACTCAATCCCGGTAGAATGGTAAAGACAATTATTCACTTATTAGGGTAGTTTGGTAAAATTTGGAGTTCTTTCTCTAACCATCATAGCTGCCTTTTTGTGGCAGTTGATACTTGAAATGCACTTTACGATTGAAACTGCACGGTTTGCGGGATATCCATCTCGACAGCATCAGCAATTATTGCTGAGTTAGAGTGTTGAAATGGCTGTAAATGTTGTTCTTCTAAAGCTATTCAAAATTGGCAACAACTAGATTTTTACCACAGAACAAACATTTTTGTTTGATTATTACTTGAGATGCATTATATATATCAATTTACACACATACACACATGCACATATGAATCAAAGATCATTATATTCTTCACCATGATGAGACTGTTCAACTTCATTCTCTTCCAAAGACCTTCCCATAGTTTCCTTGGTGAAGAAGTAAGTAACAAACATTCCAACTATACACACCCCTCCAAGTATGATAAGTGAATCTTTCATTCCAATTCCCTCCGGATATCCTTCCTCCCTCTTATTATGTGAAGCCCATAAAAACCCAACAGATCCAATGATTGCACCAACCTTACCAACAGCTCCCGAAATTCCATGACACGTCGACCGAAACCTAGCCGGAAAGAGTTCGGCCGGGACAATAAAAGTCGTAGTATTAGGTCCGAAATTCGCAAAGAAGAAAGCAAGTCCATAGAGAACCATGAACCCTTTATTCTTATGGTTATCAGGACTTGTCCAATGAGAGTAATATGGAAACCCTATGGCGAAAAACGACACTGCCATGAAGAAAAAACCCATCATTTGAATCTTGACTCGTCCTACGCGATCGATGAAGTAGACGGTGAAGAAGTAACCCGGGATTGTGGAACAAACAGCGAGAATGGCTTGTATTCTTGCAAGATAGAATGCTTCTTGATACACATCGTGTTTGTCACTCGGCTTAAGGTATCGCTTGTATATTTCACCTTGGAAAAGAACTTGACTGTAGAACACTATGTCCAAGAGAAACCAGTTAGCAGAACAGGCAAAAAGATCGCGGCCGTGTCGATGCAAGAATTCTCTTGAAAGAAGAGGGTATGATGCGGGATTTGTGCTTGGTGGTGATGAATCTTCTTCGGCTATTTGGCTCATTGATACATCTAGAACTTTCTCCATGTCCTTTGCAGCTTGCAACACATTTTGTTCCACTAATGCTGTATATCTAGTGCACATCATAAAGTACGTTGTTGGATTGTTAGTAAAAACAAATAAACATTAGTTGCTATTGTAACAAGATAATTTTATTTATTTTAGTATCAAACACCAAGAATCACGAGTATTAAGCCCTCTAAAATAAATTAATAAATCTTGCATTTTCTACTAAATAGCCGATTAGACTATTTATCGTCTGATTAGAGGGCTTGACTTCCCGCACAATGCGCATCACCTCACACAGACGATTTTAAGAGCACAAATTATATAAAGAGAAAAACTTATCATTTTAGATATTCAAATTCATTCTTACTCACATTATTTCTCATTCTCTCACTGACTTGGACGTTGAAGAGCTAACCTTGCATGTCAACCCCTCTCTATAGTACAAACACTTGTTCTGCTGCACCAAGACCTCATTTCACTGTTTATCGAACATTCTAGTTCCATAGCGGAACAATGATACCATTTGTAGGAACGACTTATAATTCTCACGAATTCTATGTTCTAGTTTCTTTTGATCCAATGATTCAAATCTCTTTTTCAAGAAGATTCAGATCTCTGCTTCTCGATCTTCTTCCTTGAAGTTTCAACCTCCAACAGATCAATTCTTAGATTCATTAAGCATGGTGGCATCCAAAGCCATTCAATCCTCCGCTCAATGGTAAATTGTTGATACAGTCGTTGAAGTTGTAAAAGATATGACGAAAACTCTGGTTCCAAAGAAGAAAAAGAACACGATATATGCCTGCATTCTCAATGGTAGGATTTCGAGATCATTAGAGAAAAATCAAAATCTACAGAGCTATTACGAAATCAAAGATCCACACGAGCACGTCAAGCATGTAGGCAATCAGATGGATTACTATCATGCCTAAACGGCGGTAAAGTGCAAACTCTTAGCGTTAAGCCTTACCAGAGTCGTAATGACCTAATTAAAGACCTTCCCGAATGGGAGCATAAATTCGGAGAAAGACATTTGTTATTCTTTCACCACCCAGTTTACCACTCAAAAAGCGAAAACCCATAACCATGATAGTCCTCAGCAGAGTCGCACAGTGAAAGAAGGAAACTATGTGCGAGTACATTGAACGCTCCACAAAAGTGGTAGTAAAAGTGGTGGCACACATGGTGAGCTAGAGTGATAGATGTCTAAGAAGGGATTTAGGTCATATTGCATGTTCTCAAAAATGGTAGGGTTCGAGGAGCTTGTAGCCTGAGTACTTTTTTAACTAGGACAATACCATATATAAATTATGAAGAAGAGCTCATGGCCGAAGAAGAAGAGAGTTAGGTTGGGGAGCAGAGGCACTAGACACAACCGGGCTCCCAAAAGATACAATGGTCATCATAAAGAAGAAGGAGATCGTGGAACTCAATCATGGAAGTTAGGATTGGTAATCCCTACTCGGCCAAAGAATCATCTAGGATGGACAAGTCCATTTAATGCCTCTTTCACAAGAGTCATGTCCATAACACAAATAATTGCATTCATTTGAAATATACAATAAAAAAGTGGATTAAGAAGTGGTGACTTGTTGAGTACAACCAGGATTGTAATACCCGATATAATTATTACCTAAGGACTACCACTAATTTATTTTAGAGAAATCATTAGGAGGTAATTACTACCAAACACATTATTTAGTTGAATAAAGGGATTATGGGCTAAATAAGTGGCATGGACATTTTGGTCTTTGCACCTTTAGGTGGAGGACTTGTTTGGCCTAACATTCCATTTGGGAATTGAACAAAAACCAATTTTGGGTATAGAGAGAAAGAGAAACGTGAAAGAGAGAAAAGAAGAGAAGTTTCATTTTCAAGCTCTCAAACCTTTCACGCAACTCCAAATCAACTTTCATCATCATCTTCTTCTTCTGATTTTTGTAGTCTCTCTCTCTCTCTATCTCTATCTCTCTCTAATTCAAAGTGAGTCTCTTAGTTAGAGACTTGGGTTTTGTGGGATAACATGAATTTGGGGATAAGGGTTTAAAATTGAGAAATCCTTGTTGCATGTATGAATTAGAAAATGTAAAGGGTGTATTGTGGTATAATATGTATTTTAGTATTGTGATTACATGATTTAGGATGCTAAAATCAAGAATTGAGACCCCATTTTTGTGTTGCTTCTGTTCTGGTTTTCTGTGTGCAACAGAGGCTGCTTAGCGGGCTCACGCTCGCTTAGCGCGCTTTTGGAAAAATAAAATCCTGAAGCATTTTCTCTAAGCACGGTAGGACCTTGCTTAGCGAGTTCTCTTGGACAGAATTTTATATTTTCTTCCCCTAAATGCAGTTTTGTTCCGTAGTGGGAACCAGACGCATCCTTGGCCTGTCGTGACTTATAAAATATGTTGTGAAGGGAATGATGCCATGATATAATCACTTTTATGCTACTTGTATTTATGTATGCTTAATACATGCATTTTGTTAGAAATGCGTTATGATGATAAATGTTATGATGTGATCATTTGTTATTTTCTGTTCGTTCCGATCGAACGTTTGGAGATGGTTGCCTGTGTGGCTTGATGCGTATTGTGATTTTGATGTATGCTTGAATTGAAATAGACCTAAGCTACTAGGTGTTAAATCACTTATGACTATGGATAGTGTGTCCAACTTATTTTACCGTTGTGATACGTTAGATGTGTCTGAAAGAGGCGTTTCCACCAGCATGTAAACATCAACGTTCTTGGTATGTCATACACACTTGAGCTACCATTGTAATGTGCTTGTGAAGGTCCTAAAGGGCGTTTCCCACTTGCAGAACCTTACACATCAGTGTGCTTGGTATGGTGGGGTCGTGATGCCATGTAGGAAATATCACTTCAGAGCTTACTCACCTCTAATGATGCCATGTAGGCAACATTACTAGGCTTTCTCCCGGTGGGCTCGTGCTATCAAGAAGACATGTTTTTTGCATTTGAGGAACCTTACTCACATGCATTTGGATGATTTACGGGGTCGTGACGCCTCATAGGCAATGTGACTTTGGAACCTACTCGTCACAGACGGAATTTCACTTAGGAATGACATGACTTATCATGTTGTGGGCTCGTGCAAGTCTCTTAACGCGATGCACTTGGTTACTCATCGAGGGTGTGGTTGTGTGGCCTAAGTAGACAGGTAGAACTTACTTATGGGTTCCTCGTACACAGGTATGGGTTTACATACTTGTTTGTGTTTGGTTGTGTGCTTGATGTTATCTCATTGGTCAGTCAAGGGACTTCCAATGGGTATGCTACCTATTTTGTGTATACTGTGAGGAAACCTGGATTCACGGTGAATCCGTTTATTGTATGCACCTTGTAGAACCGAGTGAACTCTTAAGATATGGTGACTTACTGAGGTTTAGTAATCTCACCCTATTCCAATTATTATTTTACAGATTATTTGAGGTAGGACAAAGGCAAAGGTAGGATGACTTAGCTTTGCGACGATGTTTCCTGGCCATGCTTTGTTATTTCTTTTGGATCTTTCAACTTATATCTTAGGATTATGTATTAGTACACTTTGGAATTGTATCTTTTGGCCATGATAATTTCGGCTTTTGTATTTTGTAAGGATACTTATCTAGTTCCGCTATTTATGTATAACATTTGTGTACCTTTTATAAAACCATGTGTATATTATCCTAGGCACATATGTGTGGGGTGTTACAAGGATGGTGAACATAAGGGAAGATGAGACAATAAGAGAAAGCGTAGGAACCGAGATTATTTGCCAAAGAAAGAATGCTTCCCTTTGGAGAAAAATCTCCCAATAAGGCTATTGAAGTTGTCACTAGAGCCAAGGGGAAGACAACTGCAATGAATAAGAGCGAAGAACCAAAAAGGGAAACACTAATTCATATAATCTATTTATGATCTTCCAAGAGCGAAGAACCCCTCCAAGGGGACACTGAAGAGAAAAATCACTAAGATGATGGCGTAAACAAAAAAGATAGGGAAACTTCAACCAGGAAACTAGAGTGACATGTCCTCAAATTCCTTGATACTGAAAATGTAGGAGGAATCCCAAACAAGATCTTTCCTCTGGTGATAACGTCCATCATCACCAATTTTTTGACGGCTCCCGAGTCACCATTGATGGCAGAAGCTCTTGTTATATCATGTACTAAGAAATCTTTGAAATGTTAGGAGTTTAGAAGGAGAAGTTGTGGCCTTATGAAGGGTATGACCTTCAAGGTGCCAATGACACGACAACCTGTCCCTAGGGATATGTCAAATTAATGGTCACCTTAGGACGGTCAAATTTCAATTTCTAATGGTTCCCTGCAAATGCGTCTATAACAGTATTCTAGGTAGAACTTTTATAACAACCTTAGACGCAATGGGCTCCACGATCTACCTCAAGCTCAAATATTGCAATGTCCAAGACGAGTCGATGACAATATGCACCAACTTATATGGAGAAAAAAGGATATACAAGGTTTTGCAGCGAGACCAAAATAAGGACAAAGGCAGGGCTATAGATATCAATGCAGCCCCTTGTCATACAGTTAAGAGACATGTCAATTAAGCCTCTGATAGGTAAAGCAAATTATTCTGGCCAGACATTTGTAGGTGAAAAATCTAGGTGAAAGCCCAAGCCAACTACCACATCCCTGACCAAAGCCCCCAACAACCAATAAGCAGCGACCACACCGGTTGGTTAATTATAATTTACTGCATATATAAAGCACAAATATTGTTACGATGTACGATGTATTTCATTAGAGAATGAATAAATATTTTGCTAAACTGTCTCTTCCATGTGATCATAAAGGTAGCAATGCCACTAGTGTACGATCAAAACAATCAAAGCACCATTACAAATGACTCAGGGGTGGTGTCACAAACGTCACCGATAATATCACCAACCAAATCAAATCCCCGGTGTCAATGCACATATAACAACAATGAACCACAGTGGAAATTATAGGTGCATGCCCCCTCTTGGTAGCTTGCCACTCCAGAGGCAATGGTGAGTCCATATTACGTCAACCTTGAACCAGGTTTTCACCTGGGGGAAAGGAAGATGCATCAAACCTTGGTCAGACATGAAGCAGAATGACACACCCATCATACTTGATGCGCATCCTCTTATCTTCCTTAGGGAAAAGCATATCTCAGTCAAACGGAGCTCCAAGATTATTGAAAGCACGATCTAAATTGCCCTCGAAGATATAAGTAGAAGTGATTTCCACGTCTCGTAATCCACCAACATTGACGAGTTATCTCATTTGTCTTATGGAGCATAGTAGGTGGAATCTCCATTTTAAAGAATATTGTCAACATAAAAATGGTGAAAATGAAGAGACAACACAATACATACGCATGAGTAAAGGTTTAACACTCATATCAAACATGCCAATAATAAAACTTTGAACATCAGAGACATCAGAAACCTAATATCCAGAAACCCTAACAAAGAAGGAAGCAAAAGGAAGAAGAAAGCAAAAGGTAAAAGAAAGATATAACTTTACCTTAAAAAGAATGGGTTGATCACCTATATGTCTCAAATATAACCAAATCGGATATCACAAATAAACTAAATTAGGAAATCAATGCAGAAGAGCTCACAAGAAGAACAATATTGATAATACAAAAAAGAAGACCTTTTGCAATTTGCAAATGGAAAAAAGGGGGGGGGGGGGGGGGGGGGGACTTCAAGAACCCTTTATGTGTGCGTCAGCCACATGAATCGTACAATCCACTACATTTAGACGTGTGATACACACCATCATTGGTTGGGATTTTATCTAAGATTGTTCAAAAGTACTCAAGCCCTTTAAAGTAGAGGAAACATCATTATTGTCTAACATAGGGACGCACATCAGAAACTGCATGTGAAACGTTACCTATTACAAGAAAGATATGTAATGTGTATGTGCCCAACGTTAGTGACATCTCATCAAGTCTCTTCGTATACTTCTTGCCAAGTAGTTGGGCTAGGGGCGTACACGACATACCTTATTCTCGCAATGCATGGGTAAAGGTTTAGATGACAATTGTTCTGAGTCATTCACAAGGTCCAAAGTGAAAGACCCAAAAGCACCACCAAATGGTAAAACACATGAAGTAGACGATCCTTCATTTATTTGAGGATAGAAAATTTTGCCCTCCAGACACGTGTATCACCGTCTGATTAGATTCAATGGCTTCTTGCACAACGCGTCTCACTTCGAGTGGACGATTTTAACTGTCCTTACTATATTAAGAAGAAAGCGTATCATTTCAAATATTCAAATTCATTATTTCTCATTATTTTACTGACTTAAATGTTAAAGTATTAACTTTTCAAATCAACACCCTCTCCATTGCACCAGAACTTGATCATATTGTTGTTCCATAACCGTTGCCATAACTCTAGTGGGATATATAAACTAGAAAACTTAAACCACACGACGCAAGGAATCTAATAATAAAACAAAACAAATCAACATACACGGTTTCTTTACCATTAATCCATTCCTTCTTTGACTAGAACACTATTAATTAAATGGTTAAATTGTCTATTTGAAGGCCCCGGGAAAAGGATTGATCGACGAGTCTATATATTATAAAATAAAAACTCAACTAGTGTGCATATTAGCGTCTTTGTCATACAACTTAGCCAACATTTTGGTTAGAGTAAATGTTTTTGTTATAATCACTAAAAATAATAATTAATTTACATTTAAAATATCATTTCTAAGCAATTAATGTAAATAAATTAAAATATACCGTCATAATATGATTATTAATTAATGAAAATCCTGCTATGCTGATGTATCATTATTCAATAAATGAATAGTATTGTCAATATTAATTGATCTATGTGTGACATATATTTAACTTAAATAATTATTTCTTATTCATATATTTAAATAAATAAGTTTAATTATAATTAAATAAGTCTTATAACTATATCTTTTAGTATACATTATAATATGAAAAATTAAAAGATATTCTTTAATTTCATTATTTTCTCTCTAATTGTACTGTCTACGAGCTTTAGTGAGTTTACTATTCTGCGAAATAATGTAATGATCATTATTAAAAATCATTTAAAAATATAAAATCAAACATTAATTAATAATCATTACTACTAATTATTTATAATTTTAAAAAAATTTAGAAATAAATACAAAATAAATAAATCATTTTTAAATTATAAATATTTGAAATTAAAATTAAAATTTAATTTTTACGAATACACGAGTACTGATATGGTACGTATCTATGGTACTGTTATTAAATTATTAATTTAAATATTGAATAATAACTGGAAAAAAATTATTATTGATTAATTTTTTTTATAAACATTTTCAAAATAAAATTATTGTATGAACGTACGAGTAACACACTAGTATCGTATAAACGCACGAGTAATTATATCAAAATTCTTGCGAACGTATGGATTATTACATTTTTGTACGGTTAAAGAATTAAAAATAAAAATAATATATAAATTCAAACACGAAAAAAATATGTTATTTTTTAATTATTTATGTATGTAATTTTTTTTATTTTAAAATTATTTTTAATTTAAGATATAATAGATAATATATGAAAAATAAAAATATATATAAATATGTCTTTATTTTAAAAATAATAAACTACTCAAGTAAAATAATTTTATTTTTTTATTTACATTTTAAAAACAAAAGCGTCTGTAACACACTAATATTTGTCTTAACCTACGAATAATACATCAGTATCATGTAAACGCACGGATAATCAATACTAAAATTTGCACAAATACACGAATTTAATACATAAAAGATTAAAATATATATTATTGATATAAAACAATTTTGATAAAACAATTTTATTTTTAATTTAAAATTTTTGACTTTTTTTTAAAAATAATAAATTTTTTTGAATAGATTAACAAGACGCTAAGAAATGTCCAATTCAATGGACCCTAACAAGAAAGTGATAGGTAGGGAGGGGTAGCAGTCGTAGTACGGCAAGTAAAAGTTTTCGTATGGAAATGTTTAGAATTCAACTTAAATGTTACTCAATAAACAAGATTATGGACATGAACAGCATATAAAATGGTGCATGTGTTGATTTTTAAATATTTTTTCTAAACTAAATATTAATCTTATAATCAAATTTGCACCAAATGTAGATTAAATAAAAGATAGGTAGCGGCAACTACCTGGCAGTTTCTGGCATCATCATACGCCAGTAATAAGTCAAGGCCGCCGGAATAGAACCAATCATTAATATCAACCTCCATGCAACATCCGCCTCCGGCGGCACATCGGAAGGCAACTCCGGCCTCGAACCATGGCGAAATATCGAACAAACCACCATAGTAACCGTTGCACTAGCCAATATACCAAAGCCTTGCATAGAAAAAACGGCAGCTATAAAAGACCCTCTAGTCTTCTTATTAGCAAACTCAGACATAATAGTAGAAGACAATGGATAATCACCACCAATCCCGAGTCCCAAGAAGAATCTAAAGAAACCAAGAGAGAGCAAAACACATGCTCTCTTTGTTGTACAAATGGAGAAGCCAGAAGCTAAGGAGCTTATTATCATCAACATTAAGGCCATCCCGTAGACGTGGCGCCGGCCTTTTAGGTCTCCGAGCCGCCCGAATACGAGCTGGCCTATCGCGGTTCCTAGTAGCGCGACGGAGATGAGGGCGGAGACGACTACAGGGTTGACTTGTCGGACTTTGGATTTGTCGGAGTAGTATATTCTTCCGAGCATCTTTGTGATGAGAGTTATGGAGAAGAGATCATAAGAGTCTGAGAAAAGTCCCATCCCTGCTATGATGATGGCTTTGAAATGGTAGTATTGTGTTTTTGCTGAGTCCAGAGCTGATAGAACTTTCAATCCTCTCGCCATTATGCAAATTTGATGCTTCTAAGTTCTAGCTTTACATCTTAAAGGTTATAGTTTGTATGTAGCATGGAAAATTCGGATTTTGGATAGTTGTGGATTGCATTTAATTTGAAGGAGATGTGAGAAATGGGGTGGAAAGTTTGGTGTTCGTCATGCAATATTGTTTCTTGTCTTATTATTTTGATGAGAACCAATGGGGTTGTAAGTCAAACATATGAGTGTGCGCGTTATTCCTCTAAATATGCGAATCAAATTTATCTATTTCTACTATTTTAAGGCTATATAAAACTATGCCGTCCCACGTCATGTACAAAGGTTGTTGCTGAATTGTAGCTGCATATTTTCAATTTATCCTATACATTGATTCAACTTGGCATCTGCAAAAGAGGGCACCTATCAAGTTTGCCACATTTTTGTGTGGCGGAAGTTGAAGCCTAAGCCTTTTGTTTCTGTAACAACGTATCGTTATAACATTAAACAATGGTTGAAGCCCGGGGCAGATAAATGGTTTCCATTATAAGTTTCGATATAAAAATGAGATTTACAACGAGGAGGACGGACTATTAGAGAAGATGGTCTTTGGTCGACTCTAATGATAGGGGATATATAAAATAGTGCGCACATATTCTGATGCTCAAGTTAGTTAAAATTGTGAATGTGAGATTTTTAGAGTTAGAATACATTATAAATTATAAGGTGTTTGCAGTTTGATTTGGATCAATTTTAAAATATAAAGTCATTCAATCTAAAGATTTATAAAACATAAGCTTTGGTTCGATTGTTAGATGACAAACTAAAAAATCCAATCCAATTTATTTGGTTTATTTCAGTTTGGTTAATTCAATTTTATTTGGTTTTTAAACAAACACTTTCAATCCATACAAATTAAAAATAATTCGGATATCAACTTGTCCTTTGATGATATTTTTGCCACTTGACCTGTAAACCTATATTTTCCTAGCTTAACTTGATAACAATCTTTGTTAATGTTTACAGTGCATATATATTTTTGCTTTTCTCAAGACAATTTATGTCAGGGGCGGAGCCAGAGCATATTCAGGAGGTGCAAATGAATTTCCTCAATTTTAAAATTTTACACCTAATATGTAATATTTTCTAATCTTGAACCCTCTGACATTTGTGGTTTTGCACTAATTAGTTCTTTTTATCCAATATATGGTGAGAAGAAGTTCATGTTGATCAACCTCTGAACTTTAAAATTTATATTCTCTAAGTTATGTATTGAAGTTGAAAAAGAGACTCTACGGTTTCAAACAAGCCCTCGAGCTTGGTGCATTCATTTGAGCAAGTCTCCACTTGAAAATAATTTTCAAAGAGGAAAATTTATACAACTTTTTTTATCATAAAATATCGGCATGACATTCTTCTTGTTCAAATTTAGGTCGATGATAATATATTTGGTACCGATTGTGTAAGAAAGTTTTTAATATAATGCAAAATGAGTTCGAAATGTCAATTATTGTTAAACTTCACTACTTCTTTAGACTACAAATATATATATATATAACAAAACAAAAAGCCTTAATAAATCAAGCTAACGTATTGCAAAGAACTCATAAAAAGATTTGAAATGGAAAATGCTAAAGCAATATTAACCTCTGTGAATATATCATGTTACTTTGATAAAGTTGAGGGAGACAAACTAGTAGTAGAAAACAAATATCAAGGTATGATCAAATAATTTCTTTATCTTACTGTTAGTCATTTTGATATTTTATTTTCTATTTGTATGTGTGCATGTTTTCAAGCAAACCCAAAAAAATTACACCTCACTATGATCAAACACATCATGAGGTATCTAGCTGTTGTAACTGATTTTTAAATCAGAGTCGCCACCCTTAATTTTTATCCTAATGGAATGGAGTATAAAGGAATAATCCTAAAGTTCAGAGGTTCTAGATTTGGACTCGGTTCTAGACGAGGGAAAGGTGTTAAGCACCCTCTTATCTACCTTGTTCACTAGGATACTAGGTTTAAAAGCGCAATTTCAAGAAAAAGGATTTTAATATTTTATTAGGGGAAATGGTTTTAATTTTAGTTAGTGGGACTCACCACGATTTTTGATCGTATGCCTACATATCCTCTTAGGAGGAATCAGAGTCTCATTTCGTAGTTTGCGGTGTTGCTTGTATATTTTATGGATTGCGAAATATATTTTAAATTTCTCGCATACGTAGTCTAAGAGTGTGAATAAGCGGAGTTTATTAGACCAAGTATGCAATTAATTTAAATATATTCGTATTCCTTTTCGAAAACTAATGTTGAATTAATTTATTACAAAAAAAAATTTGGTGATCATTTGAGTACTTTTTAGACGTAGAGCGAGAGAGTCTGATATAGTCTCTTCATCACGTGGTCAGATGTTGGTCACGTATCGCCCACGGACGTAGTAATTTGATGAATCGCGCTGGTTTTAATATTTTAATATAAAATTTTAAATTAATCCATATGGTAAAAAATGTTTTTTTATAAATAATTAAAATATATGATTTAATGTGAATAAATAACATTATATTTTAAATGAGTTTTAAAACTAACTGATTATTTATAAAAATAAAATAATATTAATATTATAATTATAAAGATATAAATATATAACTATATATAAATATAAAAATAAATGAATGAATATATAAATGAAATTAAAATAAGAAATATAAAAAAGAAAATATTTGAAATAATAAAAAAATAAAATAAAAAATGTGAGGAGGTGTGTTTTATATTAAACCATTAGAGTAGAGGGGTGTCAATGGATATGGGTCAGGCCCCAAGGTAAGTTTTAGGGAGTGGATCCATTTGGTCTTATTATTCAGCAATAAAATAAAATAAAAAAGATGTGCATAACTTCTGGGCTATGTTGGGGTGAAGTCCATTACTCATTAATCAAACAGAAAATAAAATAACAAAAAAACAAATGAACTGGACCGGATCATGTGAAGGCCCAAAACAAAAATATGACATAAGAAAGAAGAAGAAAAAAAAGTAACCCAAGAGCATTACAATTATACTCCAGTTGCTTGCTTTCTCACGCCATACTCTCTCTTGTCTTTCAAGTGCCCTATTCTCTTCATTCCTATTTACAGCAAACTCTTCTTCTTGTTCTTCAAATGAAATCAAACCTCCCTCCTCCATAAATTAATACAGTCAGACATGCAACCAAATCTGACGATGACAATGTGTCGTGATAGAAGCATCTCGTCGGTAGTATGGTGATGAGGAGCGGCTAGCCTCGCTTGGGAAGACAGCGTAGTTGAGGGAGGAAGTCGGTTTGATGCAGAGATCGTCGAAGATTCGTGGGTTTCGCGGTGGAGAAGGATATGATGCGGAGAGATGACGATGGTGACGAAAGGCGCGACTGTTGCTGAAGTGTGTGTGTGTGTGTGTGTGATACGATGGCAGAACTGACTCTTATACCGGTTTTGCATTTGTGTTCGAATGTTGCAGTAAGCAAGAGTCGCCACAGACTTTTCTTTTATCCAAATTAAGGAAAGGGTGAAAAGAATATAAAAAGACCTTTTCGAGAATTTTCTGAGTAAGGGGGGTAGATTATGGAAAGAGAAAGTGTTAGCACTCTTTCCATCCGTAGTTTTCTACGGAATCTTAGATGCTTAGCTCATTTTTTAAATACCTTGTGCTTTGTGTTTTGAAAAGTAGTTTTGAAAATGCCTTAGTGTGGCGATTCACTTTATGATAACTCTTATATCAATCCTCAAGAGTGTTGACAAAGCGAATGTTTTTGAAAGTGTTTTGAAATGTTTATGTGTAGGTGTGAAAATTTGTTTTTTTGATCATGCATCTATGAATTATCTACTTATACTCGAAAAGGTTCGTTCTTTTCCTCCTATCCTTTAGACAGTGCTATCCTACTATTAGTGAGTAGGTAGCCCTATCGTTGTATGTGTGAGGGACATTCGAAGGGACGTATGGTCATAAAGGCGACATATGTAGAGACGCTTTAGAAATTTTGTTTAGAGACTAGATCATTTACCGAGAGGTAACTGTAGGGTCATCGAGGGACTATAATCTTTTGATTTACGGGTCTTTGCTAAAGCGTCTCCGTTTCGAGGGACATGACTGTTTTTCCGAAGGCAACCAAAGTGGGGTACCCTAGAGGTGTATATGTGCAATGTGTGTTACGTTCAGTTATTTTAGTCTTTTTGTTTAGGTTTGCTAGCGTTTTAATTTTAATCTTATCATACAATCCTATTAGCATACATCTAAGCAGTTAATATATGTACAGGAATTAAAAGTGAGGAAATGTAAATCCTACGTTATTACATGGCTTTGAGGATTAATTACATGTCCAAAACTTGGAAAAAAAATAAAGAAAAGCGGTAAATAGTCCTAATTAATTTCTATTACATCCCATGAGCAGTTACAGTAATATAAAAAGTACGAAAGTAAATAAATGCGCGCTCTAAAATAAATCCTAGGGAAAAGAAATCTTTTGTTTGTTTTTTTATTTATTTTAAGAAAATAAAGTCTAAGTCTATTTAGTTTTAATTTTAAGAAAGTTGTTAAAGTAATTAAATTAATTAGCTAACAAAAATAATTTTAATTGAAAAAGACTAGACCTATTTTTGTGATTTTTGTTTTAATGTTAATAAAACATGAAAGCAAAAAATAAAAGAAATAAACGAAATCAAAAATATGAAAATGAAAAGAGGTTTTTTCGATCCAGGGAAGGAAATGATCCTTCGTTCCTGGGAAATAAATGGTACTTTCGACCCAGGGAAAGAAAAGGTCTTCTTCAATCCAGGGAAGGAAAATGTCTTCTTCGATCCAGGGAAGGAAGTTATTCCTTTCGATCTGGGGGAGGAAGGGATTTTCAATCTAGACCTGCAAGACAAATATTAACAAAAAATATGACCTGAGTTTCGAACCCAGGTCCTTCGATGCTGCGTACATTGGTTTATTTAGGCCAGATCTGCAGTATGGGCATTAGAGATAAAAGAACAAAAGTGGACCTGATGTCGAACCCA